TCTTCCCACCTGGGGGTCCCAGGACGTCGGCTCCCAGGCGGTGGACATGGATAACCCCCGCCTCCCATCCGTTGCTCGGCGGCGCGCCGGGAGGGGGGGCGGGGGAATGAGGCGGGGAGGGCCAGCTCAGAAGGCTCGAAAGTCCCCCGGTCTGTTGACAGGTGTTCTGAGCCCTCGCCGAAGACACGGAGCACTTCTCAGAAGGCCAGAGGGCCTCGCCGCTTTCTGAGAAGGCCTCCTCCTCCTCCTCCTCCTCCTCATCCTCCTCCTCCTCCTCCTCCTCCTCATCCTCCTCCCCCCATCGCTCGCTGCCGAACAACCTTCGGCACAACACGCCGAACACTTGCGCGTGTGGTCCCGGCGCATCTTGGACCACAAGTGTCGGGCCGAACGAATGTAGGGGATAGGGAAAGGGGGGGGTACGAAATCTGCTGCATGCAGCTGGTTTCGGCCCCGCCGCCGGGCCCATTCCTCGATACATGGGCGCCTCCCAGCGCTGGGAGGCGCTGGGAAAATCAGCTACGTGAGCTGATTCTCTACCCTACCCTTTGCTATCCCCCCCTTTCGTTCCCCCCGAAGAGTGCACCGTGACGGGTGGCCTTTACGACCGATGCGGCGCCTTCGCGACCATGGGCGGCTTCGGCCCCGCTGCACAGTGCATGACGAGCTTCGGGCCTGGACCAGGACCGTGCGCTCCTCGCCTCCCCCCCCCGCGCTCGCCGCCGAGGTGCCGCCCCGATCCGGCCTGGCGACGCGATCCTGCTCGGGCCTGCCTGCGGCCCCCCGGGGAGAGGCCGGCGGTCTCCCGGCGCCCCCCGTCCGCTCGCGCACCAGGGGTCGGGCGCGTCCTGGGGGGGCGACAGATTGGGGGGGAGGCAGCGATGGGCCCTGTAGAGGGGCCCCCCTAAGGGGCCCTGTAGGGCCCGGCAGGGCCCTGGGGGCCCTGGGGGCCCCGAAGCGGGTACCTTTCCCCCCCCCGCATGTATCGTCCCCCCTGTGAGTTCGCGCCCAAGCGCAGTGCCGCCCCCCTCCCCCCCCCCCCCCCCGCCTGTGGAAGGGCCTGCCGAGGGGCCGGCCCCTGCGCACGGGGCCGCCTTTGGGGGCGCGCGGCCTGCTCGCGTTGCGCGCGGGGGGGGGGGGCTTTTGGCTGGAGAGCGTCGTATGCTACAGGTGGACGCGTAAAGGCGCCATGCACGTTGGCGGGCCCAGTGCCCCAGCCCGGCTGCCAAGTCGCGCGAGCGCCTGCCGCTCCCGACGCGGCCGATCGCCACGCCCGGGGGTGCTGGCAAGGCAGGAGGAGGGGTGGGTGCTCGTGCCCTCCCTCCTCGCGGTTGTGCTGTTATCCTCTGGCGCGCCACGGTCGGTACTCCAGATTTCGTAATAAAAGGGAGGGGGTCTGGACCCTCCAAGACAAGCCTTTTCAGACCTCCCCCGTGGGAGAACCCTCCAAAACATCGTCCCCAGACCCCCCAGGCCCTCCAAGATAGCCTGGAAGAGACCCCCCTCGAAATGAGACCCCCCTCCCTTTATTACGAAATCTGAAGTACCTGGCCCCAACCCTCCTCCTCTCCCCCCCGCCCACGGGCAACGGTAGCGATCCTACGTGGTGTGGGGGGCGGCCCACACGCTGGTGTACGCGCGTGCACCAGGGCGAGCGCAGCGCACTCCCGCCCCGACGTGCCCCACCCCGCCAAAGAGCGTTACCGCTGCTCGGCTTGAAACTCTTCTCTCGGCCTCTCCTCTCCTCCTCTGGCCTCTCCGTGTACAGTCGGGGCCCTGAAGAAGGAACCCTTTTCGTTGGGGAGGGGCTCCGCGTTCCTTAAGCGTTTCGCAGCTTGCCTCAGGTTTCCCTTCTGGTTTCGATCGGAAATCGAAGTTTAACTTATGGAAAAAAGGGGCCTCGTTCCTTATTTGGGGTTCCTTAGGTCAAGGCCCCGACTGGATGTCCCCCCCTTTCTACTCCCGGAACGAACTTGTGGTCTCAAGCGTGCCCTCGTGCACCCGGGAGTGTGCGCTGCACGAGCCACGGAGCGCAGAGGATTGCCCGCGTTCCCGCCCCCTCGCTGCGTGGCAGCCCGGGGCCGAATGTCAGGACGCAGTATTGACCCGGCCAGCTCTGCACACCGTGCAGCGCACACGACAGGAAGTTCAGTTCGCAGGGCAGGGCCCGTGGAGTGCGTGGCTGTCCTTCCGATGTCCGCAGGCACGCAACCTGGAGAGAGGAGAAAGGGAGTTTGCGTCGTTCTCTTGCTCCTCCTCCTCCTCCTCCTCCTCCTCCTCCTCCTCCTCCTCCTCCTCCTCTTCCTCCTCCTCCTCCTCCTCCTCCTCCTTCTCTCCTGGGGGGGGGGAAGTCTCGGACCCTTGCGCCATCAGGGCCGTCGGCACGTGGCGGAACACTGGGCAGGAGGGACTCGGGAGAGGTCCGGGGGCAGATGTCGAGCGGCTGTTGCAAGCCAGGGCTTTGGATATCCCGCCGGGGAGCAGAACGAGGAACGGAACTCAGGGGGAAAAACACACACACACACACACACTCACCCACACACACACACACACAAAATTAAATTTAATCGTCGATTCCCCAGAATATTTGGGAACATCTGGGAAGGGGGGGGGGGGAAGACGGACTCCCCCCAAAAAAGATGAGAAACTGAGGGGATTCTTGTTACTTGTGTGAATCTAATTGTGTGCTCTGGGGCCCCTTTCAGGAGCATTGCCCCGACCCGCCGCTGCGGCTCTCTCGGGCGCGCCGCCAGCGCCCTGGTGCAGCCAGGGTCCTCGCCTTTGGGGGGCCCCGAGCTGCCGGGGCCCGGCGGCGGGGCCCGTCGGTCGGACGCTCCTCCTCCTCCTCCTCCTCCTCCTCCTCCTCCTCCTCCTCCGACGCTCCTCCTCCTCCTCCTCCTCCTCCTCCTCCTCCTCACCTCCTCCTCCTCCTCCGCCTCCTGCGTCCGCGGCCTGCAGTTTTGCGCCGGTAACATCAGGAGGGGAAGAAGCACACAGACACAATGAATCGTCGATTCCCCAGAAAATATCGGAACGTATGGAGAATGGGGGGAAGAGGAAAACCCCAAAAATGTAGGAAAATATGGAGGATCTGTTTAGGAGCATCAGGAGGGGAGGAAACACACAGACACAATGAATCGTCGATTCCCCCGAAAATATCGGAACGTATGGGAAGTGGGGGGGGGAAGAGGGAAATCCCCAAACACGTGGGACCATACGGGGGATCTTTTTTATTTGTGTGTAGTTATTTGTGCGTCCTGGGGCCCCTTCATTATATCGGTCATGGTCACGAACGAACGCGCGTTCTTCTTGTGTTGAAAAAGGAAACAATGAGAAAGCGATGACTTACGCAGGCGAGAAACGAATCCATTACATTGCGCCGCCGGATCGAAACAAGGCAAAACATCACTCAGTGAACCCAAGAGCCAGTCTACCAAATTCAAGAACGGATCCTCTAGATCTGGATCCGTGTGTCAAGCAGTGGCGAAGCGTCCTCGCTCGCCTATAGCCCGACCAAAGAATGTTCTAAGATCCTTTCGTGGTTTCCGCGAAATGTTCTTCGAACATTTCTGGCGGAGCCTGCCTTGGTTTGACACATCGGGCTTATGTTCTGAGAACCTGGTTGTTGTTCTCAGAACCTTTCTGGGCTCTCAGAACATCTCGTGCTAGGATTATAGGAATGCCGGGACGGTGGGTCCCTGCTCAAGTGTGCCGAAATCCCAGATCCCATCATCACCACGACCTGTGGGGTTTCTCCGAAGGGCTTAGGCGACCCGTCCTCCTCCTCCTCCTCCTCCTCCTCCTCCTCCTCCTCCTCCTCCTGCTCCTCCTCCTCCTCCTCCTCCTCCTCCTCCTGCTCCTCCTCCTCCTCCTCCTCCTCCTCCTCCTCCTCCTCCTCCTCCTGCGAGTGGCTCGATGTTTTGCGGCCGCCCCTCGGCCAAGCTCGAGGCTCGAGGTCCGTAATTACGGGGGCGGCGCCCGGCCCCGCCCGCGGAGCCGCCTCCGGACGCCTTGCGCGCCGCGCGCTCGGCCTGGTCGTCCGCCCCTCTGCCGGGCGGTGCGAGCGTGAAGCCGGGCATGCCTCTCCACAGGAGGACTGCTCAAAAACGGTCAAACCATAATTGGGGGGCGATTCATTGAGCATTCGTTGTTTATTTTTTGGGCTATTATTTGTATTTTCCTTAATTGCGTCGTTCGCCATTCTGCCGGGCGGTGCGAGCGTGAAGCTGGGCATGCCTCTCCACAGGAGGAATGCTCAAAAACGGTCAAACCATAATTTTGGGGCGATTTATTGTCACCACCCACCAAGCCACCCCAACCCAACCCGAAGGCTCAAATTTGTCTCGATTTCCAGTGGGGGGGGGTGTCGGGAAACATCGAAAAAAACACATGTGGATCCCTTACCCCCCCCCCCGACCCGAAATTCGGGTCTTCGGGTTGGGTTGGGGTGGTCTGGTAGGTAGTCATATTGAGTATTGGTTGGCTACTTTTTGTGGTATTCTTTGTACTTTTCCTTCCGTCCGAGATCCGCCTGTAGGGGGACATGCCCGACCTGATGCGAGCGAGCGGTTTCCCGGTGAGGGCGGGAGGGGGGAGGGGGAGGGGGAGGGGCAGGAGTATGAGAACGACGGTGTGACATCGAGCGCTGCAGTCCCTGAGCGCGTCTCTCATCCTCAGGTTTCCAAGAGAGCCCCCCCTCTCCTACAGGGGGTGGTGGCCGACGGGGACGTCGCACGAGGTCGCCTGCTGAGGCGTGGGGGCGGAGGCAGGGGGAGTGGCAGGGCGAGGGTCGCAGGGGGAGTGGTAGGGAGAGGGGGGAGGGGCGGGGGGGGGAGGACGGCGACTGCGGCGGGGGGGGCGCGCAGGGGGAGGGGGCAGGGCGAGGGAGGGGAGGGGCGAGGAGGAGGGAGGAGGAGGAGAGGAGAGAGGTGGAGGAGGAGGAGGAGGAGGAGGAGGAGGAGGAGGGGGAGGGGGAGGAGGGGGAGGAGGTCGGCGGCGAGGAGACACCAGCCCGAGTGGCAGAGGCACGCCGCCACGAAGCCCATCAGCCTGCTGCCGTTCCACTACGTGCTCGAGCACGACCCGGGCAAGCCGGAGACGCCGGAGGCTTTGCGATTCTCGGGGGGGCGGATAAGGACCCAAACATAGAAAGGTTCGGAGGCACGCGCGAATTTCTTCGCAGGGCGCTGGACCTCCCTGGCGGCGCCTCCGGCGCTGCCCCTGGCGCCCTCTGCGCGCCAGGGAGGGGGTCCAGCGCCGATCCAAGAAATGCGCGCGTTCTGTCAAAAGTTTGTGTTTGTGTCATTTCTGTTCCCGGAGACTTTCAGGAGGGGAAAAAACACACAGACACAATGAATCGTCGACTTCCCAGAAAATATGGGAAAATATGGGAAGTGGGGGGGAAGACAAAAACCCAGAAATATGGGAACATATGGGGAATTGTTTTATTGCGAAGGCCTTACGGCCGGTGCCGCCGACCCTGAAGACGAAGCTGTCTGTGACGCCGTGAAGGCCGAAACGTCGTATATGCTAGAAATGTAAGTGTCCGATGGAAAAGTAATGAGTGTGGCCTCTTGGGCCCTTCTTGGGGGTGCTCTTGGAGGGGGCCTGGGACGTCTTGGAGGCTTCTTGGACGGTCTTGCGGCTATCTTGGGCGTCTTCGGCCGATCTTTGGGCGACTCGGGGCACTCTTGGGCCGTCTCGGGGGCCATCTTGGGCATTCGGACCTCATTTGGAGTGTTTTCGAGGTTTCGAGACCGCCCGAGGAAAAACGAATCTGCCCCCCCACCCACCCCCCCTACATCCCCGGGGACCCCCCCCCCCCCCGGGACCCCCCACCCCCCCCTGGGGAAGGGATCAAAGGGAAGGGGCTTCCCTTCGAATCGACAACGGCATGACGGCAGGAGGGTACGGCCCAAAAAGAAAAAAGGGGGAAGGAAGAAGGGGGGGCGGCGAGGAACGGACGAGGAAGCCCCTCGCACACGCCGACAGGGTCGGCGGATTTGTGTGTATTTATTTGTGTGTCCTGGGGCCCCTTCAGACCTGCCCGGCTTGCCCGAGCAAGCTCTCTGCATCCGCTTCTAACGCCGGCCCCTATAGCTGCTGCCTCGCCTCCGTCCACCCCTCCCTCAACGTCGTCGGCCTCGGTCGTCGCCTCTGCCCTTGTCGTCATAGCCGCTGCGCGCGCGCTGTCCTGGAGGGGTCGTGTCGGGGTGCGCGGATCCTGCGGTCCCCAGACCCCCGACGTCGCGATGTTTGTTACAACGTCGACCTCCAGAGGTCTGGACCCATTCCCCGTGACCGGCTTTCCATCCCGAGTCGGTTTTTTGACGGTCGGAGGGCCCGGAAGGGCCCCACAGAAGCCGAAGATGGCGAATCGCCTCTCGCCGTGATTTCTTTCACAGCGCGAAGGGGTCCTGCGCGGCGCGTGGCCCGCCCGCCCTGCACGGCTTTTTCGACTTGCGTCCGGTCCCGCGCTTGCGCCCCGCGCGCTGCTGGCCGTCCTGGCGCGGCGGCGGCTCGACCAGCCCTTTGCGGGGTCCGTGCCCCGCGCCTGCAGCCGCTCGCGGGGAGCTGGCGACCTTGCCGCGCAGGTCGCGGCGCCCCGACGTCGAGGTCTCTGCACAGCGCTCGGGGGCGTCCGAGAGGGGGGCTCGCGGATCATGGCCCGAGGTACGTGCGCGAGCCAGGGGGGGCAGGGAACGCACTGAAGTGGCGAGCCGAGCAAGGCGGGCAAAGCCGCCATGTCCTGCCCTGCTGGGCGGGTGGCGCCCAGCGCCGGCAGGATCGCCGTCTGCCTCGAGCCGCTCGAGTGGCGCTGGCGGTGCTGGGCCTGAGGCCTCGGCGCCTGGCCCGGGGCGCGGCCGTGCACCGCATCGGCGGGAACCATCTGCCTCCCCGTGTGGCGCGCGCGCACTCAGCCGCGCCCGTGCTAAGATGAGTGGGCCTGCTTGGGTGTGACCTCGACTGGGTTATCGAGTTTGGTGGGCCGGGCTGCGCGACGGAGTGCTGGCCCTAACAGTGGTTGGGCTTCGTGCGGCGGCGCAGTTTCAGACTGCTCAGGGTAGGCAGCCTGCATTGGCTTCGCCGTCCTTGTGACCTCCAGCCCTTCCATGCCATTCCTCCCCAGACCGAGCCGTCGCCGTCGCCGTCGTTGTCCGCTCTCCACCGTCCCGCGTCCGCCGTCGCGCGCCGCCGCCGCCGAGGGCCTCCGAGGGCCCCCGAGCGCCTCCGAAGGCCGCCGGCTGCTGCCGAGGGCCGCCGAAGCCCTGTGAGGGCCCCCGAGGGCCCGCCGAGGGCCTGCCGAGGCGAGGGCCCCCCGCAGGCCGAACTGGGCGACGCGGCGGCCGCGGGGCCGCTGGCAGCGCCACCGCCGGCGCCGCAAGAGGCAGAGGGCGCGGCGGCGGTGGAGGGCGACGAGGCGGCGAACGGGCTGCGCTGCGGAGGAGGAGGAGGAGGAGGAGGAGGAGGTGATGACGATGATGATGATGATGATGCTGATGATGATAATGATGATGATGATGATGATGATGATGATGATGATGATGATGATGATGATGATGATGATGATGATGATGTGGAGGAGGAGGAGGAGGAGGAGGAGGATGAGAATGAGGATGAGG